AAAGAAAGAAAGAAAGAAAGAAAGAAAGAAAGAAAGAAAGAAAGAAAGAAAGAAAAATTCTGAGAGGAGTTCCATTTGATTGTTTTTGAGGAGCCAAGTCAAGAAAGAAAGGAAGCTCAGTTTTAAAAATAGGCAGCTATTATTATTAAACTACCATGTCGCCAAAGGCATGTATGAGAAGTATTCTCTCATCTCCTCCCAGTCTTCCCCATTTCTTTCTTCTTTTTCTCCTCTTTCTTCTCTCTTTCATTCTTTCTTTTTTGTTTTTTTCTCTGTTTTTCCTTCCTTTCTTTACTTTCAAGTTTGTAAGAATGAAGAAGAAAGACATTAAAATGTAATGTGAATCTGACAAGTGTTATAAAGTCAGCAGGGCTTGGTATGAGTTCATTTGAAAATGATTTTGTGGGTTTAGTCAAGATAGATAAGTGACTAGATATAGAAAACTGACCTTCAAATGCCTCAATCTGCCTGGTGTACTTTGGGGTATGGTAAAGGTTAAGCACGGAAAATTTTCTTTTGAACAATTTGGAATGGAATATTTTGAAAGATGTGCTATCAAGACCATACTAAACCTTTATTTTCTGTTGGCTGCCTCAGCTTCTCCAAGAATATAGATACATTTTTGCCTATAGCCATATATTTTTAATAAAAGAATATATAGGAACTAATAGAAGTTTAATCTGAGGCATAAAATAAAATAGGTCTTGCCCTGTGATTGCGATACAGGTCAATATGTTAATATTGGGGTGTAGAGGAAAGAATACTGGAGTTAAGTCAGAGGACATTAGTTCCAATCCTAGGTTTGCCATTTATTGTGTTATCCTGGGCAAGCCCCATAACTACTCTTATCTATAAAATGAGAAGGTTAGATTAGATGGACTTGTAGCTCTTAATCTATAATCCTTTGATTAGTGAGGATGCATTGATTTTTATGAATTTCCATTTGTTTAAATTGATCCTTAGTCATTTCTTGTGATTTCATGGGTCAGTGTTTTATCCCCATTTTTTCTCAGTTGTTCCCACCTTCATTTGATCTTGTAAAAAAAACATTTAATTAGGAATTAGAATGAGATGACTTTTTTTTTACATTCTATTCTTAACTAAAACATATCCTTTCAACCATTTTGGGAAATGTGACCAATTATCCAATGAAAATATACCATCCATTTTAATAGAACATTTGGTGAAAAGTAGCATTTATATATTTTTTTAAACTGGATTTATTTTTCTAAAGCCTACAAACTCCTTTTACTTGTATGTTTCCCTACCCACCTTCAGAATTTCAAAGAACACCTAAGGTAAGACCTCTTTTGGTGGCTTGCCATAATATTGCTGAAGTGTTTTTCATCTCTTACTGCCGCAAAATAAATAAAAATGTCCACTCTGCTTCCTTTGGTAAAAGGCAACAAGGCATGACTTTATTAGACACAATGGAAAATGCCTTCAGTATGTCAGTTCCCCAGAAATTCTTCCTCTTGGCTATACTTGACTTCATTTCTAGCAGGGTCTGTACTCTGTCTACACTACAGATCTAGAAGGGCAAATATATTGGTTGAAATGACCTGTTAGGCCAGTCAACCAGATAGTTAGATCCTTGAATAAACTTGTTCTATTGACTTTAATAAAAGAAACGGAATGCTCTATCAGGGCTATGTTTAGCAATTTTGGCGTCAGGGTGCAAGAATTAGAAAAGGCTTCAGGTAATCAGAATGAAATGAGCCCTCAAGTCAAATTTGTAATTCATGATATGAAAATAATGAAGAAAGTAATAAAACAAATCTATTTCTTGTGAAGATTAGTCACTCTAGAAGTCTCTTTGCTGCTAAAGGAGCAAACCGGTTAACTTTTGTGTCCTGTAAGTTTTGGTGTTATGGTGCTAAGCCTCAGTGACTCTGCTGACAATTTGGTGAATATGGTCACATGGTCAGTGATAATCACATACATACACGGAACCTGTTTTTAGGGTTAGCATTCAAATATGATCCCCAAATTTTAGAATTTAGCTTTAGAAAGCAAGTTTCCTGTGCTGACACTTTTTGTCTCATGGTTTCCTCTTAAATTTTGATATGGAGTGGATTCATCAAGATTATTATGATGGTAGTGATGATAGTAGAAGATATAGTAATAATGATAATAATAACAATAACAACAACAACAATAATAATAATGAAAAGACAGTAGACTCAAGAGAGGTGAGAGTGCCATGGTATTTGACCAACAGATTAAAAAGTTGTTCTCTGTTTAAAATCTGCCACTAGCATAATAATATTGAAAACAAGTTATAGAAATCATGGCATTTTTTTAGGGAGACACGTTAAGCCTCTTGTGGTTCTGTCTAGCCTTAAATCCATGATGATCTTTCTCTTACATAGAGCTAAGTATGATTTCAAATTAGAGAGTCAAAGGAAAACATCTTATTAATGCCCTCATGTGTATGGATGACATTAAATTAGATAATTCCACCAAAAACATATTAAATAGCTTTTTCATCTCATAGAATCTTGCTTTAGTGAGATCAAAGTGCCATCTGGATTTAAGAAGAGTTAAATTTTTAATGTGTGCCAAGGAAAGAGAAAGACCGAAGACCATTCTAGAATCAAGAGGGCACATTGAGCCAATGGATGAAGGTGAAACCTACGAATACTTTGCCCTGCTCTAGGCAAGACTCATCAAGAATCAAAAACATTGACTACAAAGGAATAAAAACAGGGCAACAAAGGGCAATGCCTTTCCCTGTAATTGCTTCTACCTGAACTTTATCAAAAAAAAGATGAGAAAAAACAAAATAACACATTTTTATTAAAACATTCCCAAGAACTCAATAAATGGGGACTTGATCATTGTCATAGAACAATTGATTCATAAAAAAACCTTAAAGTCAATTAACATCCATGTGATATCGATTGTAAAG